TGGAAAGCCAAGTGAAGTGATTATTCCTACAAGGGGCCTAAGGCAGGGCGATCCTTTGTCACCCTACTTATTTATCATTTGTGCGGAGGGTTTGTCACTGTTATTACAGGATGCCTGGGCGAGAAGTTTGATTCATGGCTGTAGAGTGGCGCGGGGGCCCCCGCCTGTGTCCCACTTGTTTTTCGCAGATGACAGCCTTTTATTTTTTAAGGCGAATTTACAGGAAACTATGGAAATAAAGCGTTGTTTGGAGGTCTATGAACAGTTCTCAGGACAGTCTGTCAACTTTCATAAGTCTTGTATCTCTTTTAGTCGCAACACTGCTGTAGGAGTTAAAGAAGCCATCGCTTTGGCTTTGGGTGTCGATCAAACTGGGGATCTTGGAAAATATTTGGGCATCCCCTTCGTTATTGGCAAGAACAGGAAAGTGGTTTTCTCCTATGTGGAATAGAAGTTAAGGCAAATATTTGGTTCCTGGAACAAGAGACTTCTCTCTACAGCTGGCAAAGAGGTGCTCCTAAAAAGTGTGGCCCAGGCATCCCCACTTATACTATGAGTATCTTCCTATTACCAGTCACTCTATGTGCCTCTCTGGAAAGGTTGATGAACAGATATTGGTGGGGTAAGAGCAGCACGGTGGACGAGATTCATTGGATGTCCTAGGACAGAATGTGTGTGCTAAAGAAACATGGGGGCATGGGTTTTAAATGTCTTTACGACTTTAATTTGGCTATGTTATGGAGGAGGATGTTATGCACATGTATTTATGCTAGGCGTGTGTGGAATATTTCACAACTTCAAATCCCTAACTTTGGTGGTCATGATTTTATGCAGTGGATGGATGGTTGGTTGGGCAGCTCTGCAACATTGTCTGGTGTTCTAAAGGAGCAAGTTTGTGGAATACTCTACGAAATATGAAAGGCTCGAAACTTGGCTGTCTAGGAGCACTCCATGCCCACTCTAGCTCTATTATGGCACAATTTCCAGGCTGCCTGGTCTGCATGGGTGGCGAACGTGGAAGGGCGCCAACCTGCCTCCTCGCATGTCGACGTTGCTGCGACTGCCACGGCTGGAGCTGTCCACGCCATGCAGCTGCCTGCTAACACAGTCCTCTGATTTACTGATGCTGCTTTCCACGGTCCTAATCAAATGCCGACTTTTGGTTTTTATGTAAGAAGCTTGGATGGCATCTTCATCGCAGCAGCAAATGGGCCCCTATTGTGCCCTTACGACCCTCTTCTGGCCGAAAGTATGGCTGTACATGAAACGCTTTCGTGGCTAAGGGAACACGACTACTTGAATATCAGGCTTTACTCGAATTGCGCGGTTCTTGTTTCAAGTTTTCATGATACAAATTCTTTTCGTACTTATTTTGGTGTTGTTTTAGACTCGTGTTTACGATTGGTTAGTTCGATGTCAGATTGTGTAGTTGGTTATATCCGCAGAGATACCAATTTGGTAGCTCATGCTCTAGCTAAGCACGCAGGTGCGGCCACAGTACGTTCTGTCTGGACGGATGTTCCTCCATCGTTTGTTGACTCTTCCTTGATTTAATGCAATCCGAAGTTTTTGGCTTTCAAAAAATATATATAGTCTAATCATATATAGTAAAATTTACAAGAAACCTAACGTTATAATAGCGGAAGCGGGAACCATGTAGATCTCTAGTTATAGTTGGTTTTGTTGTGTTGCCCCTCTTGAACGATAAACCTGCGGAATAACATTATTAGGTGTTTTGTCTGATCACATTTGACTCAGAACCCTAGATGGTGTACTGGTATTATTCTGAGCAGCATGAGTACCATAGCTTAAGGTAATATATATGGTGTACTGGTATTATTCTGAGCGCATGAGTACCATAGTTTAAGGTAATATATATAGTACCATGTATCCCATCAATACATGCTTTATTTTAGGCACAAGGCCCAATAAAACAACTACTTATAGTTATTCAGTCCAACTAACTACTTAACGAGCCTTTAACAAATTGTTATATCGTGCACTAAGCGCACAATGCATTCTGCCCCTAAAAATCCCATGTTTTGAATGTACATAATTGTATAGTAGAATATTAATACACATAAACTCGTAACATAATACACATAATCTAACATAATACACATAAACTCTTAACATAGGACACATGAACTCTTAACATAATACACATAAACTTTTAACATAATAACTCTTAACATAATACACATAAACTCATTGTGCGCCCTAGTGCACGATATAATTTGCCAATATTAACTTGCACCACGATTGTTATGCCGTGGAACCGTGTCCACCTTGCAAGATGGACAGGGTTCTATGTTCATAATTATTGAACTCTATGTTCAAAATTATAAAATTCTATGTTCATAATTTTTTAACTTCATATTCACAATTATTGAACTCTATATTCACAATTACAGAACTCTATGTTCATAATTACTGAACTCTATGTTCATAATTTTTGAACTTCATATTTACAATTATTGAACTCTATATTCACAATTATAGGACTTTATGTTCATAATTAATTAATTATAGAACTCTATGTTCATAATTATAAAACTTTATGTACATAATTTTTGAACTTAATATTTACAATTATGAACAATTTTGCAATCGTGTCCATATTATCAGGTGAACATAGTTCCACAACATAATTTGTCATTGCACCACATAATTAAAACCATAATGTGTAATATGCATTATACGGATAAGTCTGATCTTACAAAGACTTCTTAAAATTTTCCATCCGAATGAATAGCTCCTCTATACTGTGGAACCTTTGCTTCAGAGGTCACACAGATCAATTTAAATGCTGCTAAAAGCACCGTTTTGAGATGTTCAAACCCAACAACCAGCTGATAACCAAAAAGGCCAAAAGCTTAATCAGTTATATCACTTCATCTAATTTAGTGAAAGGAAACCGTTTAATGGGTCTTAATATGTGAGTTGAGTTGAATCTCTGTTTTTTTTTTTTTTTTTTGGTGTCAACCACACATTGTGAGAATCTAACCCGAGTTATCTCAGAATTCTCCCCACAAAGAGAGTTCATTTGTCACTTGAGCTACCCTGTTGGGTTGGGTTGAATTAATAAGTCAAATATTTGATTAATGGGTTGGATCTTTGACTTCATTAATTAAAGATTCGACCCGTGCTCACGGATTGAGCAAATTATATCGTGCACCGCGGTGCATAATGATTATGCACCGAGTTTTAAAACGGCGTCGTTTTGTTTAATGAAAAGAAATGGCATCCGTTTCGCGCCGTTTGTGTAAAAAGTAAATCTATTAATCAGTTTCATTTTATATACACTGCAGTTTCAGTTCAACAAAACTACAGTTTCATTTCGATATAACTACAGTTTCATTCGACATTTATACACTCAAATATGTTAAAGTGTTAGTATTTAATGTTATTTTATATACACTATAATTTCATTAAAACACAACTACATGATCATTTCGATATACCTACAGCTTCATTGCATAATATACACTCAAATATGTGAAATGTTATTCAATTTCATTTTACCACAACTACAGTATCATTTTGATATAACTGCAGTTTCATTTGATAATATCTAAAATTATACGTGAGGCAGTGTCGGTTTAGATACACTGTAGTGTCAGTTTAGATACACTATAGTTTCAATTGGTAATTAACACACTAAAAAATACGCGCTCCGTTGACAGTAACGGCGTGCCGTTTCTTTACTTAAAGAAACGGTACCGTTTCGACATCGGTGCACGTATACCATGGTCCACGATATAATGACTACACGAATCGAAACCCGTGAAACGGTTCGCCCAAATTTGTCTTAAAAGTATAAATACTCCATATTTTATGGCAAATAACTTTACTTTCTTAAAATATTGAAAAAGAAAAAAGACAAGCAATCCAAGTCAACATTATCAAATTCCATCCTTAAGTTTATTTTATAAATAATTAAAATATTTAAAGTTAATGTAACATTACAATTGTAATGCGAATACTTCGTATATTATGACATCCATGACAGTAGTAGTATATACTAGCAGCATCACTTGCCATTTCAATAACATCAAAAATTGTCACCCTAGCTTTATCCAAATTCCTAGATGTTACTCCGTATGTAGTCCGTACAGGGCCGGATTTTAGGTTTTTGGGGCCCTGTTCTGGTAAATAACTGAGGCCCTCCAAAATCATAATTTTTAATATGCAAGTTTCGAACCTTTAACCTCCCAGTAAAAATACAATAAATACACATTGCTATCATCTCTTCATAGAACCTTTTAAGTTTAATTGAAAACTTTTAATTTTTATATCTAAACTAGCTCAGTAAATATTAAATATTGGACCTCTAAAATTTGGGGCCCCTCTAAAACTGGGGGCCCTGTGCGGTAGCCCAGCTTGCACAGCCTAAAATCCGGCCCTGAGTCCGTATCACAGTACTTTTTAAAGTACAAAAATTTAGATCATTAGAATTTTAATTAAAAAATTAAAAATTAAAAAATTAAAAAACATTAGTACAACAACTTCTAAGCTAAGGTAATTCAACCAATTAATGAAATACTTAAAAAAAAAAAAAAAAAAAAAAAAAAAAAAAAAAAAAACAGCTCTTTGCCAATATTCCAAAGTATTCTCTAGATAAACATGTCTTATTACCTTAATTGGTAAAAAATCACAAAAATATTTTTATCTATAATTGATCGGTTCAAAATCGAAAAAAATGCGGAGTGACCAAAAATACTAAAATATTCTTTTAAAATCCTTTAAAGCTAAAATGGCATAAAATTATAAACCGACAATGATTTTTTTAAATAAAAATAAATAATAATAATAATAATAATAATAATAATAATAATAATAATAATAATAATAATAATAATAATAACGAGAATGTTATCTTTAACGACAATAACGTTATCTCTCCCTATATATATCCAACATTCTAACCTAGCTACCTACCTCGTACAATTTTATTAAACTTGTTTAATCTTGGATCTTGATTGCAACGACGATCGACCATGGCGGCGGCGGGGCAGTCCAGAGAAGAAGATCGTGCGGCAGAGGCGGTGGCGGTGGCAGAGCGGGAATTTAGTTGCAAATACTGCGACAGAAAGTTCAACAATAAGCATGCTTTGGGAGGGCACCAGAACGCGCACCGGACGGAGAGAGCTATGGATTTGACTGCTAAGAGGACTAGACGTGGCGACTTCATGAATTATTTTCCATTTTCTCCTTTCCTTGGGGTTTCTCACCTTCTCGCCGGCGCCGGCGGCCAGGTGAACTACTTGAACCAGGCACCCTCAATGCCGCCGTATTTCTTGCCTGGCCACCCCATTCCCTCGCCGGAGATTCCAGCACCCAGGCCGCCGCCCTATGCTTATCCATTTTCACCTGCTGTGTCTGAAACCGGCCCACTACCCAGTAGGCCGCCGATGGAAAATCATCCCCCTTGTGCTCGTCAGGTTTTGCTGCCGGAGATGACTATGTCTGAAACCGGCCCACTGCCCAGTAGGTCGCGGGTGGAAAATCATCCCCTTCGTGCTCGCCAGGTTTTGCTGCCGGAGATGACTATGTCTGAAACCGGCCCACTGCCCAGTAGGCCACCGGGGGAAAATTATCCCCCTCGTGCTCGTCAGGTTTTGCTTCCGGAGATGACTATGTCTAAAACCGGCACACTGCCCAGTAGGCCGCCTATGGAAAATCACCCCCCTCGTGCTCATCAGGTTTTGCTGCCAGAGATGACTATGTCTGAAACCGGCCCATTGCCCAGTAGGCCGCCGGTGAAAAATCACCCCCCTCGTGCTCATCAGGTTTTTTTGCCAGAGATGACTATCTCCGGCGACAACACCTTTCCAGTGGGAAGTTTTCACGCCAATTCTGCTGTCACCCCCATGCTTGGTTCCATTGCTATCAACTACTCCAATCCAATGAATGCTCCAGAAATGATTGAGGATGTAGATCAAAACTGGATATGACGACTCTGATCGATCTCATGCTAAGGAATTTCTATTTATTTTGCGCGGGAAAAAATAGAAATCCATTGATGTTTTGCCATTGTCGTCTTTTAATTTTGTCTGTCGTCAACAAACAATAATTTCATTCTCAGATACTCAGATCTATTAGATCATTTGTCTGTCGTTTTCAGTTTTCATAGCAGTTAAATTAATAAACGATTTCATTTCATTTTGATATATAGATTATTGTGTTTTTTAAGCTCAAAATTGTGTTGAATGAATTGAATATTCAGATCAATATAACTTCTCAATCTCTGTGATCTGACTTGGGTTTCTCTGATCTACTGTCGTCATTCGGCGCCGGCGTTTATCTGTTCACAACACATAAAAGGAAGGCGGCCAACGGGTAAAAACCGTTAGGTTGGTGATTCCCGGTGTTTATCTGTTCACTACACAATACACATAGAAGGAAGGCGGCCAACTGTTAACCGTTGGTGATTGTCGATTAGTTATGTACGTGATAGTTAGCGTGATCTACGATAGTTAGTTATCGTAGTTCTATGACTAACATACAACTGCGATGCAAACGTCAGCTGCATTGCGTCAGCTTTCGATAACAGGTTTAACTATTTTTTGAACATTGTCGATTTTTTGGTATTAATTTTAGGGTGACTGTCATGGACCTTGTGATCTAGTGGCATCAATTTACTCTTTTTTATGAGAGGTTGTGGGTTCAAGTTTCCATGTGCTTCTTCAGTATTTTGAGAAAATAGTTCTAATAGGGTTGACGAAAAAATTGACATTTAAATTTATGAAAATTGTATTTTTAGTTAAATTTTCATTTTTGGAGTGTAATTAAATTTGCTGTGATTTTGTTTACTAAAGACTTGTAATTTAATAAAATGTTAGCTTTAATTTTAAATTTGAATATGATGTCAATTTTTTTTTTCTGTAACTAATAATATAATCTTCTGGTACCATTATTTGTGGTACTTTGAAATTGAAAGATATGTCTCACGTCTTTATTGTGAGTTGTTTATTACTGAGTACTTATTAGTTGAGAAAAAACGCTATTAAAATATGTCTAACTTGAGTATTGATGGGTACGTGTGTGTTGAGTCAATTTATTGAAACTATGTCAAATGGTGTCATTGTATTTGAGATGGAAGGGGGAAAGTGTTCGGGGGTTTTGTGGGGTGGTTGGGTAGGATTTGAAGTTATATTATAGCTAAATTATATATGGACAATATTATGGATTATCACTCTAATCTGTTCGGATATAGTTACTAAATAGTATTGACTAATCTTATATCATCTAATCAAAATTAAATTAGGGTTGTATAAACAAGCTAAGGCCTCGAGTTCATCCTCAAACTTGATCAAACTTAAAATTTTGGACTTGAGTCTAGCTCGCTAATATAATTTTTATAAGACTCAACATCTATCAATTCAATTAGCTCGATTCAAATTAATCTTATATATTCCATCAATCACATTTTACCTATTCTGTTTACTATTCATTAGGTGAACCAATTCTTTCTTCTTTGTTTATTTTCTTTAGTATTTTTATTTATTTTTAAATTTAATTTGAATTTTTGTCTTTAGTAGTACTTTTAATGTAGTTTCTAAATGTATAAATTGTGTATATTAATACTAAACTTAGGAGTTAATACATTTTGGTTTCTCGACTATTAGGTAATACTCGATTTAGTCCCAGAAAATTAAAAGTACCCAATTTAGTCCTCTAACTTGTAAAATCGACTCAATTTGATCTTCCGTTACAAATATCATTTAATAACCGTTATTTAGAGAGGCAAAAACGTCAATCACTATTCTCAACCCCCTTTCTCAGGGGTTCCCTCGCTGGTTCGTAGTCCTATAGTCGTCAGTCGCATTGGTACAGGCCGAAGACGAGGGGGAGAGAGGACGTTGGTGGTGGAGGGTGGTGCTGTTGTCGCCGGTGGCCATCCGGCGAGAGGAAGGTAAAAGAGGTAGTGTGAGGTTTAACTGAGTGAAAATTTTCTGAAGAATTTCTGGTCCAATTCCTCCGTCAATGTCGGCGTGAAGAACCAACTATTCGGGTCGGATCCTCCCAAGCTTTACGCCATACATTACTTAGGGTTAAATCCGTGACTCTGTTACAGAGACTACGATTGCAATTGAGACATTGAAGATCAACGCGTTTACGCCAGTGACATGGCGCATCGGACGTGGTGGAGACTTCATGACTCCATGGATGAAATCTTGCAGAAATTTTGCGGATTATCGGAGCAGAGGAAGACTCAGTTGGAATGGGATAGGAATCGACTCAATTTGGTCCTCCGTTACAAATATCATTCAATAACTGTTAACTGTTAATACTAATTCAATTTTGTCGTTATTAGTCAAGTTTGGTTAATTGAACCGTACCAGACACATAAAATGAGACGGAGAGAATATATATAGCTCACGTTTATTTTGTTGGTATATAAAATGAGACGGAGAGAGTATATATAGCTCACGTTTATTTTGTAATAAATTATTAAAATATTTAACGTTAACGTTAAAATTGTAATGGCAATATACTATAGCATGCAAGACAGCAATAATATCACGTCATTTCAACAACATAAAAAATTGTTCAAACTTATCTTTAAATAATATATATATATATATATATATATATATATATATATATATATATATATATATATATATATATATATAAAAGAAAAAAACAAATTGTTCAAACCGTGTAAACCTTTATCCTAAAATTAAAGTACAAAACTTACATCAATTATTAGATTTTTAATTAAGAAGACTAATTAAAAATAAAATTTAAAAAAAAAAACACACACACACACACACACAGATTCTTGTTAGCTTAATAGGCAAAATATCACACAAAAAAAAAAAAAAAAAATCAATCTAAATTATCTATAATTGATTGGTTCAAATTAAGAAAAGACAAAATATAAATGTTTTCAACTTTTGATATGATGATTGACCAAAAATGATAAATATCCAAAAATCCTTTAAAGCATAAAATTAAATCCGAGACGGGATGGTGTTTACTGCTTACAATGTTACTAGAGAACGAATTATAGAAGGACAATATTTTTTAATTTTTTTTTTTATAAATAATAACGACAATGTTATGTTATTAAAAAAAAAAACAAAAAAAAAAAACAAAAAAACCAAAAAACAAAAACTTACGTTATCTCTTCCTACAAAAATCCAACACTCTAAGCTAGCCAGCTACCTCGTACATGTTAATTAAACTTGTCTGATCTCCGATCTTCATTGCGACCACGATCGACCATGGTGGCGGCGGGGCAGTCCAGAGAAGAAGACCGTGCGGCGGCGGTGCAGGAGGCGGGGCGGGAGTTTTGCTGCAACTATTGCGACAGAAAGTTCAACAATAAGCATGCTTTGCGAGGGCACCAGAACGCGCACCGGATAGAGAGAGATAGGGATTTGACTGCTAAGAGGACTAGACGTGGTAGCTTCATTATTATCCACTTTCTCCTTTCCTTGGGGTTTCTCCCCTTCTCGCTGGCGCCGGAGGCCAGGTGAACTACTGGAACTAGGTACCCTCAATGCCACCGTATTTCCTGCCTGGCCATCCCATTCCCTCGCCGGAGATTATTCCAGCAGCCAGGCCACCGCCCTATGCATATCCATTTCCACCTGCTGTGTCTGAAACCTGCCCACTGCCCAGTAGGCCACCGGTGGAAAATCATCCCTCTCGTGCTCATCAGGTTTTGCTGCCGGAGATGACTATCCCCGGCGACAACACCTTTCCAGTGGGAAGTGTTCCCGCCAATTCTGCTTTCACCCCATGCTTGGTTCCATTGATATCAACTACTCCAATCCAATGAATACTCCAGAAATGATTGAGGATGTAGATCAGAACTGGATATGAATATGATCTCAAGCTATGGAATTTCTTTATTTTGGGCTGAAAAAAATTGAACTCCATTGATGTTTTGCCATTGTCTTTTAATTTTGTCTGTCGTCAACAAACAATAATTTCATTTTCAGATTCTCAGATCATTTGTCTGTTGTTTTCAGTTTCCATAGCAGTTAAATTAATAAATGATTTCATTTCATTTTGATATATAGATTGTGTTTTTTAAGCTCGATCAAAAGTGTTCTATGACTAACATTACAACTGCGATGCAAACGTCAGCTGCATTGCGTCAGCTCTCGATAACTGACTTAACGGTTTTTTTGAACATTGTCGAGTAAACAAGCTAAGGCCCGCAAGCTCGAGTTCATCCTCAAACTTAACATTTTAGACTTTAGTCTAGCTCGATAATTTTTATAAGAACTCAACATCAATTCAATTAGCTCGATTCAAATTATAGTTATATATTCCATCGTTCTCATTTTACCTGTTTTGTTCACTATTTATTGGTCGAACCATTCTTTCTTTCTTGCTTATTATCTTTATTATTTTTTATTTTTTATTTATTTTTAAATTTGATTTTTTGTATTTAATAGTACTTTTAATGTAATTTCTAAATGTATAAATTTTTTATTCTAATGATAACTTAGTACTCCGTATTATGAAAAATTAAATTAAAAGTATTATGAAAAATTGAATTAAAAATAACTTAGTGTTAATCCAAGTCTCGTTAACTGATCTAACTAGACACATAAAATGAGACGGAGAGTATATATAGCTCAAGTTTATTTTGTAAATTATTAAAATATTTAAAGTTAAACGTTAAAATTATAATGTCATCAATATACTATAGCATGCATGACAGTACGTAATAATATCACTTATCATTTCAACAACATAAAAAATTTTACGTTCAAACCGTGTAAACCGGCCTTAATCCTAAATTAAAGTATAAAAATTAGATCAATTAAATTTTTAATTAAAGAAGACTAATTTAAATAATAATAATAATAATAATAATAATAATAATAATAATAATAATAATAATAATAATAATAATAATAATAATAATAACACTTTAGTACAACAACTTCAATTCTAAGGTAATTCAACCAATTGATGACAAACTTGTTAAAAAACGCACAGATTTTTTATTTACGAGAAACTTTAATTTGCCACTATTTGAAAGTATTTTCTAAATAATAAAATGTATTTTGTTAGCTTAATTGGCAAAATATCACAAAAAAAGTAAATCAGTTTAAATTATCTATAATTGATTGGTTCAATTCAAATCAATAAAAGATGAAATATAAATGTTTTTAACTTTTGGTATGATGACCAAAAGTGATAAATATTATTCCAAAAATCCTTTAAAGTTTAAAGCATAAAATTAAAGCTGAGACGGGATAGTGTTTACTGCTTACAATGTTACTAGAGAACGAATTATGGAATGACAATATTTTTTTCTTTTTTTAAATAATAACAACAATGTAATAGAGCCAGTAACTTTCAAAAAAAAAAAAAAAAAAAAAAAAAAACAATGTAATCTTTTTTTTTAAAGAAAAAAAAAAAAAAAACGATAACTTTGTTACGTGTTATCTCTTCCTATATAAATCCAACACTCTAAGCTAACTAGCAACCTCAGCTCGTACATATTAATTAAATTTGTCTATCTCCGATCTTGATTGCAACGACGATCGACCATGGCGGCGGCGGGGCAGTCCAGAGAAGAAGATCGTGCAGCGGCGGTGGTGGCGGTGCCGGAGGCGGGGCGGGAGTTTTGCTGCAAATATTGTGACAGGAAGTTCAACAATAAGCAAGCTTTGGGAGGGCACCAGAACGCGCACCGGATGGAGAGAGATAGGGATTTGACTGCTAAGAGGAATCGACGTGGCGGCTTCATGGATTATTATCCATTTTCTCCTTTCTTTGGGGTTAATCTCCTTCTCGCCGGCGCCGGCGGCCAAGGGAACTACTGGAACCAGGCACCCTCAATGCCGCCGTATTTCCTGCCTGGCCACCCCATTCCCCCGCCGGAGATTCCAGCAGCCAGGCCACTGCCGCCATATGCTTATCCATTTCCACCTGTTGTGTCTGAAACCGGCCGCCCACTGCCCAGTAGGCCGCCGGTGGAAAATCACCCCCCTCGTGCTCATCAGGTTTTGCTGCCGGAGATGACTATCCCCGGCCACAACACCTTTCCAGTGGGAAGTGTTCCCGCCAATTCTCATATCACCCCCATGCTTGGTTCGATTGCTATCAACTACTCCAATCCAATGAATGCTCCAGAAATGATTGAGGATGTAGATCAGAATTGGATATGACTGATCTCAAGCTATGAAGTTTCTATATTTTGCGTGGGAAAAAATTGAACTCCATTAAAACATATATTATAGGTTAAGATGTTATGTTTTGCCATTGTCTTTTAATTTTGTCTGTCGTCAACAAACAATAATTTCATTCTCAGATACTCATCGGATCATTTGTCTGTCGTTTTCAGCTTTCATAGCAGTTAAATTAATAAACGATTTCATTTCATTTTGATATATAGACTGTGTTTTTAAAGCTCAAAATTGTGTTGAATGAATTGAATATTCAAGAACAGAACTTCTCAATCTCTGTTATCTGTTCACGCGGCCAATGGCTAAAAACCGTTGGTGATTGACGGTTAGTTATGTACGTGGTAGTTAACGTGATTTATGACGGTTAGTTATCGTTGTTCTATGACTAACATACAACTGTGATGCAAACGTCAGCTGCATTGCGTCAGCTTTCGATAACCGACTTAACGATTTTTTGAACATTGCCCATTTTTTGGTATTAAATTTAGACTTGAGTCTAGCTCGATAATTTTTTATAAAACTCAACATCAGTTCAATTAGCTCGATTCAAATTATTGTTATATACTCCATCAGTCTCATTTTACATGTCTTATTTACTATTTATTAGCAAGGTTGCAAAAATCGCGCCTAGGCGGCGGCCGCCCGCCTAGAAATTCGGCGAAATCGCCGTTCTAGGCGGTCGGCCGCCTAAGCGCCCTAGGCATCGAGTAGATCACCGTGGACTAGGTGGCCTAGGCGGTCATCTAGGCACCATGTGCGGGAGTTTAAATAATTTTTTAATATAAATAAAAAATAAACGGGCGCCTAACGATTTTTTCAACTTTGTTTATTAGTCGAACCAACTCTTGCTTCTTTTCTTATTTTATTTAGTATTTTTTTTTACTTATTTTTAAATTTGATTTTTTTTTTTAATCTTTAATAGTACTTTTAATATAGTTTCTAAATGTATAAATTTTTTATATTGATACTAAACTTAGTGTTATGAAAATTAAATTGAATTAAAAATAACTTTAGTCAAATCTCATTAATTGAACCATACACATAAAATGAAACGGAGAGAGCATATTATATATAGTTCAAGTTTATTTTGTAATAAATTATTAAAATATTTAAAGTTTACGTTAAAATTGTAATGGCAATATACTATAGCATGCATGACAGTAATAATATCACGTCATTTCATCAACATAATAAATTGTTCAAACCGTGTAAACCTTTATTATCATATCCTAAATTCAAGTACAAAAATTAGATCAATAATGAGATTTTTAATTAAAGAATACTAATTAAAACAAAAAAAAATAGTAAAAAAAAATTAAAAAAAATACACGTACATATTCTTAATTTACGATAAACTATGCCACTATTTAAAAGTGTTTTATAGGTAAAATGTATTTTGTTAGCTTAATTGGTAAAATATCACCCAAAAAAATAAATCAATCTATATTATCTATAGTTGGTTGATTGAAATCGAGAAAATATGAAATATAAATGTTACTCTATATTAACTTTTGGTATGATGACCAAAAAATAATAAATATTATTCCAAAAATCCTTTAAAGCATAAAATTAAAACTGAGACGGGACTGCTTACTATGTTACTCGACAACGAATTATAAAACAACAATATATTTTCTTTTTTTAAAATAATAATAATAAATAATAACGACGATATTATCTTTTTCTAAAAATAAAAAAAGAACGTGAACTACGTGATATCTCTTCTTGTATAAATCCAACACTCTAAGCTAGCTATCTACCTCGTATATGTTTATTAAACTTGTCTGATCTCTGATCTTGATTGAGACAAAGATTGACCATGGCGGCGGCGAGCGGGCAGTCCAGGGAAGAAGATCGTGCGGCGGCGGCGGCGGCGGCTGTGGCGGTGCCGGAGGCGGCGGCAGGTTTTGGCTGCAAATACTGCGAGAAGAGGTTCAGAAATAAGCATGCTTTGGGAGGGCACCAGAATGCGCACCGGATGGAGAGAGCTATGGATTGGACTGTTAAGAGGAGACGTGTCGGCTTCATGGATTATAATCCATTTTATCCTTTCGCTGCCTTTCCACCACTTCCCGTCGGCGGCGCCGGCGGCGAGGTGAACTACTTGTACCAGGCTGCAGATGCAATGCCGCCGTATTTCCTGCCTGGCTTGCCGGAGATTCCAGCCAGGCCACCGCTCTTTGCTTATCCATTTCCACCTGCTGTGCCTGAAACTCAGGTTTTGTCGGGGCCGGCGATGACGGCCTCCGGCGACAACACCTCTCCGGTGGGAAGTGTTCCCGCCGATTCCCCTGTCACCAACTTGCTTGGTTCCATTGCTGCTATCAACTCCATTCCAGGGAATACTCCAGAAGTTCTCATCGAGGATGGAGAAGTGGACTTGAATCTCAAGCTATGAATTTCTTTTCATATTTTGCGCGGGAAAACTTGAACTCCATTAATGGATAGGTTAAGATTATCTTTGCAGTTTTATTGTCTGTTTGTTTGTCAGGAAACAATCATTTCATCATTATCAGATACTCTCATCATATGTCTGTCATTTTCATAGCAGTTTAATAAACCATTTTCATTTCATTTTGATAGATTATTGTGTTTTTTAAGTTCTTTAATTATTTTATCTCAATTTAAAGTGTTGAATTATCGAATATTCAAGAACTAACTTATCAATCTCTCTTATCTGAATTGGGTTTCTCTACTGTCGGCGCCGGCGCCGGCGTTTATCTGTTCACGACCGGGAAGGCCAACGGGTAAAAACCGTTGGTGATTCTCGACCGGTTAATTAGTTATATGGCAGTTAATTAACATGATATATGCGTGATGGTTAATTAGTTATCTTTGTTCTACGACGACTTACATACTACTATGATGCAAACGTCAGCTGCATTGCGTCAGCTTTCGATTAACCGACTTAACGATTTTTTTTTTTTCCTGTAACTAGCTATAGTATGCTGACCCTTAGTTTGTGGCACTTTTCAATTCAAAGATATTGCTCACGTCTTTCTTGTAGGTTGTTTATTAGTTTAATTAAGATATGTCAATTTATCAAAGGAGGCTGAAGCTCTGGCTATTCGAGAAGCATTAAGCTGGTTGAAGGGTCGGGGCTATGGTAATGTTCTTGTGGAAACGGATGCTCAACAAATTATATCTCAACTTCATACGCATAATCGTTCACCGTTTGGTTTATTGCTTTATGATATAAATGTTATGTTTTCTTCTATCTTCGTTTTCAAATGTTAGACTCGGGTTTAATTTGTAAAGCGATCTGCTAATATTGTGGCTCACTTGTTAGCTAGAGACGCTGTTTTAACGGGAGGTAGTTGGTTTTGGTTTGATACCGGCGCCCTTCCTTTATTTTTCGTGCTATTTGTAATGACTTACGGAATATATGAAGTTATTATTGGTGGTTTTGGATTTCAAAGAAAGAAAAAAAAAAAAAAAGATATGTCAATTTAAGTATTGATTGGTGTGTGTACGTTGACTCAATTGAGTGAAACTATGTCAAATAATGGTGTCATTATTTGAGATGGAATGTAAGGGAATGGCTTCGGGATTTTGTGGGTTATGGTTGGGTACCATATGAAGTTACATTATATCTAAATTATATATGAATAATATTATGGATTGTCACTCTATCGGGATATAGTTACTAAATAGTATTGATTGATCCCTTATCGTTCAATTAAGATTAAAATTTTAAAAAAGAAATAAGAGGAGCTTGAGCGCAAACTTCTTTTAATTCAACTTTTCCCACATCGGTGGAAAAAGTGGAGACGGTGCGGCCCTTAAAGCTCCCTATAAAAGAAGTCTCAAGGCTCCTCAATTTTTCCCATCCCATGTATCTTGCATCGGATCGGTAGCTCCATCCTCTGTGATATGAAGCCTAATTTTAGGGTTTACAAGTTTAATTATTTTTTATTAATGTTGGGAGACGTTTCAGAGAAAATAATCATTTTCTCCAAACAAGCTCCCTTAAAATATTGTTAAAACAGTGTTTCAAAAGTTAGTGTTTTGAGCTTGAAATGCTAATTCCATCAAGTTACTAAGCATTTTCTTTGAGATGGAAGGGAATGACTTCGAGGATTTTGTGGGTTGCTTGGGTAACATATGAATTTACATTATAGCTAAATTATATATGGACAATATTATGGGTTGTTACTCTATCGGGATATAGTTACTAGATAGTATTGACTGATCTCTTATTGTCCAATTAAAATTAAAATTAAAAAAAATAAGAGAGCTTGAGCGCAAACTTCTTTTAATTCTACTTTTCCCACATCGATGGAAAAAGTGAAGAAGGGTCTTGAAGCTCCCTATATAAAGAGGCTCAAGGCTCTTCAATTTTTCCCATCCAATGTATCTTGCATCGGATCAGTAGTTCCTCTATGATATGGAGTCTAATTTTAGAGTTTACATAGTTCAATTATTTTTTATTAATCTTGGGAAGCGTTTCATTGTTAAAAAACAATGTTTAGAGGAGGTCACTTGAGCGCAAACTTCTTTTAATTTTATTTTTTCCACATCGATGGAAAAAGTTGAGACGAATCATGAAGCTCCCTATATAAGGAGTCTCAAGGTTCCTCAATTTTTTACATCCCATGCATTTGATCTTGCATCAGATCAGTAGCACTTAATTTAGAGCTTACATAGTTTAATAGTTCAATTATATTTTATTAATGTTGAGAGACGTTTCAGAAAAAATAATCATTTTTTCCAAACAGACTCCCTTAAAATATTGCTAAAAACAGTGTTTCAAAAGTTACTGTTTTGAGTTTGAAATGCTAATTCCATCTACTAAAAAAAGTTACTGTTCAATAGTTTTACTTTCTTAAAATATTGAAAAGAAAAAATCAAGCGGGCATTCGAAATCTTATCAAATTCCTTTAAGTTTATTTTGTAAATTATAAAATATTAAAATTAACATTAAAGTTATAATGTCACCGAGTAAATTTTAAAGTACAAAAACTAGATTAATTAAAAAAACATTAGATTGAACAATTTAAAAAAAAAAAAAAAAAAAAAAAAAAAAAAAAAAAAAAAAAACATGATTCTTAATAAGGTAGTAGTGTGTGTTGTATACTTAATCTTTTTCAGCCCAAAGCTAGAATCAATGTCCACCACAATGTTCGATTTTGTGGCCACTCATTTGATATGGTAACAAATGTATCATCACACTATATAGTAGTTGACAAATTGAACAAAAGACTTTAATATAAGAAACAATATAATGCAATTTTTTTGGGATGGTTTTTGCAATGCAAATAGGAAAGAGAAGGAAGAGAGAAGATGAAAAATGGAGGAAAAAATTATGACAAAAAAAAAGTAAAAAATAAATTAAAGTATATTCAGCGCTTAGTTGATATGCCAAACACACCCTTACAACATTTGCTAGACTTTTAGACGATGTATTTTTTAATGTATTTTTATCCTTAGTTAAACGATCGGCGAGCAAAGTAGTCCACGAGCTTGCTCGGGCAGCTTGTTCCATGTCTAATTGCTCTGTTTGGAACTTGACTCCTCCTCTTGTCATTTTAAACAATTTGAGAATGGATTTGGTCTAATTTTAATGAAGCCTTTTATTCAAAAAAAAAAAAATAATAATAATAATAATAATAATAATAAAACCCTTTTCAGGATGTTCTAACTTCTAAGGGAATCCCCAACGCTTCTTCTTCCCTTGTCTCCCCATTTCATAGATCCATATCTTCCATCTCACCATATAATCTTAAATTATATTTTCTCTCTAATCCTTCTTCTTTTTTCTTCACTTTTTGTGAGCCCTACACTTTCACACTTCTACACATTATTTATTATTTTATTTAATTTTGTACAATTAATAATTTCATCAACTGTATAATAATTTTAAATTTTAAATAACGAAATAAATTAATATTCAAAAGCGAATACGAAATTTTAAATACTAAATATATCAACAATTATTTGTAATAATACAATTAAATTTTTTAAAAATAAATTAAACTTCAAAGTTTAAAAAAAATAAAAAATAAAAAATAAAAAATTAACATCAAATCTTTAATCGAAACAGCAAGCTGCTCCCAACTGACACATGCTGCTCACGCACCACACGCGGTGTCAATGTTGCTCCCAAGAGAACAATTTCTGCAGAGCAACTTCCTTTCTTGTCATCCCCTCCACTCCAATGCTTCTCTCCTCCTTTCTCCCCCTATTTCTTGCATGGGAGAGACCCTAAGGTATTTCAAATAAAGAAAATATTATTCGGACTCTCAAATTTTACTCCTTCAACTCAAATTTTTTATTTATTTTGGAACTTACAAAAAAAAAAAAAATAATAACTTTATCGTTACATTAAAATCTTCTTCTTTTTTGAATACAAACCAATGTGGTTTTATTTAGAGATAAACCGAAATAGAGTCAGGCGGAACAATGTCCCAATACATAACAGTATTATGATCGAAAGTTGTAGAAGTTAAAGTGTGAGCTAAATAGTTCTGTGGTCTAGGAATAAATTTAATCGAGCAGAAATCAAACGTAGATATGCAAGTTCTGCAACCATCAATAGCATAACCAATATACGAACGAGACGGGGCACCTGCAGAAGATAGATAACATTATTGAAGTGTAGGACAATCTGTATATAGCTCTATAGACTGTTCTCCACGAGCGCTTAGCCATGACAAGGCCTCTTTGCATGCGAATGTCTCGACAATTAAGTGGGGAGAAACAACTCGGGAGGGGAGCGCTGTAGGCAGAAATATAACCACCATTGCCATCGAAAAGAACCGCTCCAATAGTGCATGTGTTCATTGCATGGTGATACCCGGCGTCGACATTATATGCTCTCGGTTGTACTGCAACAGCATGGTTCATGATGGTAGACAGTGGTGGTAGGGGCGGTGTCTATGGCTCGCACACAATCAACAGCAGCGGGGTGTACTCAGCGCCACACCTGCATGGTGGCAACAGCGGCGGCAATCAGCTTCTTCAACATTAGCAAATAAACATCTCAAACCGCTCCTTGCACGCTCTCCAAATATGATATAAAATTGCAACTACATACATAACTCCATTAGTGTCTAGAATATTCAAGATTGCACTAAACCAAACATGAAAAACATTTGTCACAATATTAAGAAGTGAAGGTTGGATTGAGCCCATATGGATTTCGCATAGGCACACAACACCAATGAATGTATAGTGTCTTCATGAATGATAGCACACATGGCACAAATAGAATCAATATTTACCCTCTTTATAAGCAAATTATTAGTAATAAGAAGGATATCACTTATAACCTCCCATAAGAAAGTCTTCTATTTGGTAGAACTTTATTATTTGATTAATATCTAATTTACAACAAAACATGCCACCATTATCCAAAAGTACAATCTAGGAAAATCCCATTTTATAACCCTAGTAAAAAAATCACATAAATTATTTATTGTTAACCGCCTCAAACCAAAAAAGTCAATGAATCTTCGAAAATTATGTCTAAAGATCTCATGTCTCAAAAATCTGTCAAGAGTTATAAAGGTTTGTTAACATAAAACAATAAACCATAAAGCAACAGAGTATACATTTAATGAAACACCAGAATAGAACGCATAAAGGTTCCAAATCCACTAACACTTAAATAAGAAACACCTTAGCTAAAGTACATTGAAAATTGAAAAATCTGCTTCAATAAAGCAACAGTACAATAACAATTTATCATGTTATAGCAACTAATCTGCATCCATTTCTTCAAGTGCAGCTTTGGCGGCTGCCTTGGCTTCCTCTAACAGATCTTCCGGAACCTAAAACATACCAAAGAGAAGAGTTGATCAAAACATTATATTGGTGGCAGCATGTCTCTGGCAAAGAAAATAGAAATGGAAACAAACAAGCAACATGCCATTCTCTTCTAATTGATCAAGAAAGGATATTAAAATTGGTTTTTCTACCATACCTTCTGGTGTTGGCGGTTAGACTCGTCACATACCCAACTCATTTCCAATTCAAAAGCCTTGTCCTTGGCCTCATCATGTACACCATAAATACTGCGTATCAACAAAATACTACGTCAACATCACTTTTCTTAAGTTCACATGCAACATTTAGAACATATATATATATATATATATATAAAACACTAATAATATATGTCCCAGCAAGTTCTCGTTTGAGACTAAGTTCAAATAATAATCACAACATTTTTGTAGATGTATAGATTTGACAAATATATCCTACAAGTTATCAAGAAACAGCTTGATATAAATAACAAAGAAAATGAAGGGAAGAAAAGTAAATATACAATTGAATAGAGTAATGAGGTAATAAATTTTTTAAAGTTAAAACAAGAAGAGGAGCATAAGAAAGAAAAGGTCATTGCTTGAATTTCTCCAATCTTCAAGATTCAGTCATAGATGTGGCAAGAAATATTCACAAGTGAAAAAATAATTATCATTAGTGCGTAAAAAGCTACGTCATAGTAGTCAACTTGTTAAAATAAGTCCAGCTTAGACATGTTCTATACAACCAATGTGGTGGTGGTATTACTGACAAAATCAACAAATCTGTATACAACTATAAATCCATCCTTTGCAAATGGGCATGTATTCTCAAGTTAAATAGGAAAAGATGGGACTCACATTTTGGCTACTTCAATAACTCCTTGCCGACATGTCATTTCAGAGAGCTTCAATTTCTCAATTTCACTGGCCACAATTGAATTTGAAATGCATTAGCACGTAAATGAAATCAATCAGCCTATTAAAAAGTGCACTTCAAATGGAGATAGCCAGATAGTAAAAGCAATGACTAAAAGGCCAATGTGTATTAGCAACAATCTTACACAAAAAATAGATTTAATATGGGGGCTTAAGCAACCAAAACAATTTATGAAATTAGAAAGTTGAACTATACAAGAAATCACACCATTCATAGACTCCCACAAGGTGAGAGTGCAACTCATCAAAAATTAATCTTTAAGGTGGATAACATTAAGAAGATATGCACTACTTACGTTTTAGCAGCTTGCCTGCCCTTTCCAATGGCAGCACCAAAGTACCTCTATAATAAATGAAGAAAATATATATATTAACATGCGAAAATAACCCTCTACACAAAACCAAGTTAATTCAAAGCATGCCACAAGTTTAAAAATATTAAATGTACAGAAACCGCCAAAATGATGCAAAACGAACAGAAGAAACCAACTCACATAAGAGACACCAGAAGGTTCAACCATGTACAACTGTGGTCCATCTCTATCATATCCTCCAAGAATCACCCCACAACCAAAAGGCCTGCAGCAAGTTTTACTCTAAAATTTCACACCCAATATGCAGCAAAAGGGCAAAAAGATTCTTAAAGGCAAAAGTGAGTGCAACTAGCAAACCTGAGCCACCAATAAAGTGTACATAAATGTACATAACTAGCAACCCTTTCAGCAAGTTCTTTCACTGGAATAGGTTCACCATAGACACTGCAAAAACAAATCAATTCGAAAAATATAAGAACTACAAAGAACTTATCAAAGAAGAAATACAATGACTTGTACAATGATTCTGCTCCAATAGAAGTAGGTGCACCTGAGTCGTAAATTGGAATTTTCAAATCAAAGGTATACCAAGCATTAACAACTAACAGAACCCTAGGTGCAAATGCCCCCAAACGGAAAGTTCATCAGCAAAAAGGAAACCACCGCATGATAGCATGTATGCATGTTTGAATATTAATCCAATATCAGCCTCAGTTCATATTCTCAACGGTTCTCAAATTTTTTAAATGCAAACTCAGTTATGAGATATCCACAGCAACACCATATGCATTTAGTCTGTGTAACTAACAGTCAAAGACAAGAAGTATGGGAGACAATTTGGCAGAACAAGAGAAAGAGTAGATAATAGCTATCTCTTAAAACACAACAAATCACAGAACAAAGTCCAAGGAATGAGATTACCGGAAGAAAACCAATATATCACATCCTATGCTTATAAACCACACAAACTAAAGAAACAAGAATGATTGAAAGCATACTTCGCATAGCTGGTTGCTTCAGATTTAGTTCGTGCAACAATTTGCCTCCCATCAGCAGCTAACCCAGCGACAGCCTGTAAATAAATAAATCTTACTGATTTCCCAAAAAAAATCTTACTTAAACAGATTTAGTTTGTGCAACAATTTGCCTCCCATCCGCAACAACTCAAAACATTTCAAAATATTACTGATTCCCCAAAAATAAAGAACAATAGATTTTTCGAAGGATTTAAGTAGTACATCAAGACTTAGTTAACACAAGTAGTGGAATGTTATAAAGACAACTTAGATAAACCATAGCAGTTACCTTTTCTAGATTGTAAAACACAAGTAGCTTGGTGATTTAAGGCAGCTATGCATTAGGTCAGTCAGAACTCAGGAACTAGAACACTAAAATGGATTATTTATATTTTTTACAACGTTAGTGACAAAAATGCAGGTTTCTATAAAGATGAAATGACTACTATTCAACAGGGATTTTGAACCCAGTTAATCAGCTATTTTAGAAATAAACCTGTTAAAGCCTCATTCACAACATACACTTGAAAGCATATGAAATTGGGATTTTACTATATAAAAGTGCTTGTAAACATCTATAAATTAGAGCACAACAAGGTCCTCCTATCACAGTAGTTTGACCACCTCTGAACCAAGTATTCAAAGAATTTCCAAAGAAACACTTAAAATATAAAAATGTATGCTTCTATTAAGTGATTGCAAGCTTTTCCAGGTTTAAAAGGTACTAACTTCACCTCCTTCAATACTGTCACTTAGCCTTCTATAAGACACTGTTCAACCTTACCAAATATTTTTGTTCACTCTTGCTGCTCCATAGTATACCACAAAGAAATAAAGCTGCAGCTACATGGATAGAAAAGTAAATAGTGACAAAACTCGTAGTTGCACAACATTTCCCTAGCTGCATACCTTCACTATAATTGACAAAACCCTAAAACCCCTAGACATTTTCAAACCACATACAATATTCAGATGATTCAAAATTGTCCAAGATACAGGCAAGTATTCCAACGATTCAATCAATTGTAAAATATAAACCAAAATAAGGATAATAGAATACAAATTGCATTCCATGTGCTATTCGAGGATACGTGCAAATACAGGAAAAAGATAAACGGTAGTACCATGCCGGAATGGCGATGAACGGAGTGAATTCGCCGATTAGATCCTGGCAACATCATCTTCAAAGCAATCAGCTTCTCCACACCCTATAATCAAACCAACGGAAACTATTAAGAGAAACCCAAACCCTAAACATAAACCTGCGATTCAATCTCCCTATGGCCATACCATGACGATTCCATCCTTGCATTTGATGCCGATTACAGTGCCGCTGTTGTCAACGGCCTTGGCGGCGTACTCGATCTGGAAAACTCTGCCGTCCGGAGAGAAGGTTGTCACCGAGAGATCGTAGCCAGTGCCTATGCTGCTCATCTTTTCTCTTCCGTTTCTTCTGCTAGAGGTATTCCCCTTGATTCGAGTGTGCTCCGAGCTCTGAACAAGCAAATATAGTGCAGACGAAGGCGAAGAGAGTTTTCTTTGAGCTCAAGACAACAGGCCAGTGCAACTGTTGGGGAAAAAAATCAAACAGAAAACAAGACAGGGGTCTTCTGGCAATTTTTGTTTCTTTGTTCATCTTTCTTTTTTTTTCAATAACCTAGAATTTTTGGTCCAATAATTTTTATTTGTTTTTACACCCGTCCAATAATTAATAAGTTAAATTTAGAGTTAATTACCAAAATGATTCCTTGACTATAGCAAAATTATTAATTTAGTCCTAAACAAATTATTTGACCAATTAAGACACTGAATTTTAAAAATCTTAATTAATTTGGTCCTTCGTTAGTTTTACCGTTAGACTTCCGTTAATTGGGATCAAATTAGTAATTTTGCTATAGTCAAGAGACCATTTCAGTAATTAACTTTAAGGGTGACAATTTGGTTCGGTTTTCTCAAATCAAACCATACCGAACATTGAAGTAATTAACCGTACCGAACAATTCGGTTAAAAACTGAAAGGAAATACCGTTTGATTTTATTTAATGTTCGGTACGGTTTAGTTTGGGAAAAGCGAACCGAATTACCCACACCTAAAGTTAATTACTGAAATGGTCTATTGACTATAGAAAAATTACCAATTTGGTCCTAAGTTAACAGAAGTCTAACGACAAAATTAATGAGGACTAAATTGGTTAAAATTTTTAAAATTAAGGACTTAATTGGTCAAAAAATAGTCAAAATCAAATTGATAATTTCATTATAGTCAATGAACTATTTTGATAAGAGTTAATACCTAAAATTGTCATCGACTATAGTGGTTTTTTTCAATTTCGTCCTAAACGACTTTGGTGACCTAATATCGTCCCAGACTTTTGTGTTTCGCTCAATTTAGTCCCAGACTTTTGTGTTTTTGCTCAATTTAGTCTCTCATTTGTTATTCTGTCCATTTGGTGTTAAATAAATAGACAATTCAGTAATTTTAATATTGGCATCTCTTTACTCATAGACATGTGAACTGCGAAATCCCTTTTTTTTACAAATTACTCCCAGAATTACTCCTAAAACTGCGAATATAAAATTTGATTTGCAGGTCCGGGAGTAATTATGGGTGTAATTCGTACAAGAAAGAAGAATTTTGCACTTCACAAGTTGAAAGTAAAGAGAGATCAATATTGACATTACTGAATTGTCCCTTAATTTAACACCAATTTGACGGAATAACAAATGGAGGACTAAATTGAGCGAAACACAAAAGTCTGGGACGATATTAGGTCATCATAGTCGTTTAGGACGAAATTGAAAAAAACCACTATAATCGAGGACGATTTTGGGTATTAACTCATTTTGATAATTAACTCTTAAATTTATCAATGCGGGCCAGCGCGCCATTACAAGTCAAAATTCTTGAGAGCTTGTTTGCAATCCCAATTACCTAGCTCTAAATTATCACATTCATGTTAGTGGGCTTCACGACAATTGTTATACTATGGACTAGAATTCTTCTTGTATTGTGGACATTAGTTTAAAAATGATCTGTCTGCAATTAATATAAAATGATAATTACATACACTGATACACAAATGTTAATTGCATACACATGTTAATAATATATAGTGTATCCAATAAACATATTTTGTATTTGCAGTTAATAGTTTATGCGTCTATAGTTACAATTTTATGTGTTTGTAGTTAACATGTTATATGCATTTAATTTATATACATGTAAATAATATGCAAGTTATTTTGGAATAAGATCCACAATAAAAGGTAAATCATAGTCTATGATATAATTTGCCGTTTCACAAGGCTATTTTTAAAAACATTTTTTTTAAATTATAAATAGAAAATGATGATATTGTATGATGTATTTTATTTTAATGTATAGTAAGAATGTTTTTCTCTTTAGGATTAGAATTTTCCTCATCTAATATCCAATTTGAGCATTAATTGTTCTCCAATCAAATTTGTTAAAGTTAATTCTCTATAGGGTTGTATTCATTGTTCAACTTTTTTTTTTTTTTGTTCAACTTTGAAAATGGTTATTTTTTCTTAGTACATTTTTTTTTCAAGTTTTTTTTTTTTCTTTCAAATAACCCTTAAAGAAAGAAAAGCAATGAATAAATGGAAGAATCACAATGGCTAACTTAAACCCAAGCAATGAATAATTACACCATCCTTTGATCTTTTGCTGCATTTGGCAAAACTCATAGACACAAACCAGGTTCTGAGGTTAGTATTTCTTGTTTTCTTATAACAGATCAACCTTAGCCTTCAAACCATGTAGTCTTTGGCCATGAATTTCAGATACTCACACAATGAACAATGAGGAGAGGTTCAACAAATAACTATACATCCACTCATCAATAAATGTAATTTTCACGACGACGAGGATCAAGATCCTACACTTTATTCACCATGTCAGCACCACTCAATTGTCTAATATAACCCGCAACCAACCCACAAGCAAATCTTCTAATCTGGAATCCCGGGCCGGCCTTAAAAGCCCGCCCCACCAAAGGCAAGATGATCGAGAGAGAGATTCTCTGCTTATGTGTATAATACCTGGGTTGTGGAAAGCACGGGAGAGTCTCCCTATGACATTTGTTGTACCTGTGCAGAAATAAATCGTTTAGGAAAACAACAATCGTCACTAAATGGAACAATCATCACTAGCCTAAACAAGAATTCTTGAATAGCAAACGACTGGTTCAGATATTCTTGACAAAGAAGTACATATAATGTTTCTTTACTATACCAGTTCTATCCAAATGAACTAGATGGTAACTGCCAATCAAGTATATTTAGCTAAAGACGAGAACTTTTTACAAAGTACCTACACCTGGAATGACCTCTGTATAATGCACGGTTTATGGCTTCTTATAGTGATCAGACTGGTTTATCTGTCCCGGGTTTAAGAATGTTTGCATGCAGAAGGATCATGGAGATATAAATTCAAAAATTGGATCTTAAGCTTACTTAATAACAGTTCATTTCCCCGCTGTATATAAAAAACGAGAAAAAACCCAGTAGGGCGGAAAACTAGTAGAATACCTGCAAACTGTCGTGACTACTTGGGATTTCAATTTGATTGGAGGTCGATAATTGTTCAGGTATTCTTGACGTTGAGTCTTTTGCATCATCTTCAAGAGAATAGAAGGGCGATTCACCATCAGATCTATATTTTTCATCCTTGTTTATGGAGTTATTTTCGGTGCCAACATTATCCAACCGGTTGGGAAGGGAAAGGGCATTCTTCTCTGCAGAAATTTTCTGCTCCATAATATCGATCTTGTGCATTGAGCTAACGGTACTTCCCCGATCTGCAGAGTTACTTCTCCCGTTACCTTCCATATTTTCCAAATCATCCTCTATCTCATCAAGTTCCAAGTTTCTCAAAATTTCGGGGAGTGAAATGCCATTCTCTTCTGCAAACCTACTTCCAAGCTCAATATCAATTTTCTCTTTCGAGCTATCATCATTTCCTTCAACGTTAGGAGATTTGGGCTCCACCACCGCGAGTGCTTCTTCATGAACCGTTGCCCGAAAATCATTCAGCGGGGGAGGGATCTTGGAGAAGAGAATCTCCTTGATATTTTGCAACATCCCTTTGTTATATGGATTATCCTTCTTATCATACCGATACCTAAAGTTCTCATATGTGGTCTACGAAAAGTAAAGAGTCAGAGCACTTAATATAAATTTGACACATGGCAATGAGTAATCAAACAAACGTTCAAAGTTTACCTGGTTCGTACAAATCAGATAAAAATGAAACGCTGTAAGGCCTCCCACGAACCAAACAGCAATGAAGCAGTATACGATCAGAACATCAGATAAAACATCTTGTTGAATACCTCCCCAAGGACCGTCATTATGTTGCAGAATGTTGATCCAAGATATCACAAAGACGTATAAGCATAATATCGTTGAAGTTGATATGAACAAGTAAAAGAATCGGTAGTTACGCTGCAATCAAATACAGAGGAAGTTCCGTGTTACTCTAACAAGAAAAAGAAAGAAAGAGGGCAGAGAAAAATAGAACTTACTAATCCAATACATTGACCGACCCACGGACAGTGATGATCAAATCTTTGCACACAATTGTTGCAAATGGAGCAATGGGATGCTCGAGGAGGACGATAAAGTAGGCATGTATCGCAATATTTCACTTTGACTGTGTGATCATTCACGATCACATCCTTTGTTCGTGGAAGTTTTAAATGAGGCGTTCTACCATGTACCCACTCCGTGGAAGGGGTAGTCATGTCAAGTGTTTCATCAAATTCCGGAGGCTTTGAGCTCCTTGGGACAATTCCGGGATCTCTACTAGCTGTCAAAAAGAGAAACGTAAGGGCCTGCACAAAAAGTTTAGAAGATTGGTTAGCCGAGTTATGTACATTTCTATTTCCCAACCTTAGGCTTTTTAACAAGAAGCGTAATAATACAAACAAAGAGTGGCATAAGCAATGTACACAAGTCCATTTGAGTATTCTTGAAACAGAGTGAAACCCAGAATTCCCAGAAAATAGACAACATTAGGAGCAAGCTTTAGAAACTGAAAGCTAATAAAGAGACATTACTTATGGACAGCATAAAGATTCAAATATTTCGATGATAAAATAAAGTGGTGCTAATGATTTCCACATGAAATAACTTCAAATGCCAAAACAGGTCATATCTCATATGAAATATGAATACCAAAGAATGATTGACCCTCAAAATACAAGAAATACCAATATTGTAATGAGAATGGTATTGTTACCAGAATGGCAAGAACTGCTCCAACTAGTAGTATAGGGTACCAAGAACTACCATCTTTGTGGTGCTTAATATTGGAATAAACTTTTATGCAAAAAGCAGTGGCAGGGCCTGCAATCAGGAGCATGGATAGAAACAAAGATGCTACATCGGGACCAAAGATCAGTCTTCCTCCAAATAAGAATTTCTGGGAGCATTAACAAGAGAAAAAATAATAACAATAAGACCAAGGCAAATAGGCAATATTTTTACCAAACAAAGTATGCAAGCATGTTTTAAACAAACAATTATTGAAGAAACCTGTATAAAGCATGTTTTAAACAAACAATTAACTTGTATACATTCTGAATATCTTGTGATCTGGAAAAGTTGTATTAAAACTCATCAAATGTCACACCTAAAAACCTCCACTTGCAATGAACTGCCTAACAAAGTTCACAATTGCATACAATGTTAAGAACCATGTTTTCACCTAAAATTAAACACTGCCCTAGCTAGCCAAAATGAACATTTTCAAGACTAACAATGATGAACAGAAGCTATATATATATCACACAAGAAAACTCCAACTTCACTTGTGCATTTAAAAGAATCCCTAAATGAAATTATGAACTTACATTACTCCCCTTCCAAACCTGATAAAGCCTCTTGACTTTGGCTTTCCCTTGAGCCATCAATCACACTTGAGAATTGGAAGAGGGCAAAACAAGAAGCACCCAAGAGTCAAGCTTTTGGGCTGAGAGAAGAGAGAAAGAAAAACCCACTCCTCCTCTTCTTCTCCTTGTTCTTTTTTTTCTTGATCAGCTCACAACAAACCATGCCATGCAAAATCCCACAACTTATTGAAATTCGGGATTGCAAATTGTGAGTGTTGTTGACAAGAAACGCGGATTCGGGGGTGTGATCAAGAAACAGCTGCCCTCCCTGCCTGCCTTCTTCGTGCTCTGTGTGTGTCAAGACGGATTTACCCAGGAAGGATTGCTAACAGCCAACCTCTCTCTCTCTCTCTCTTTCTCTCTCTCTTCGATATATACATGTGTGTATATATAATGTATGTGTGTATTAAACGCGGAATTTCCTAATTTTGGTCGTGTCTCCCCCTAAGCAGAATATGATTTTTGGTAATTTTCACCTGAGATGAACTCTCTCTTCTGGCGGGGCGGATGTTCCAAATTTTGGCTCTTCTGCTACGAACTACGGAGTATTCTTTTACGGGGCGGTCCATTTCCTCGACTATTTTACAATAATTGAACATTAAAAATGTAAATTTGAATAAAAATAGATAAACCTAAGCACTACATAAATTAACAACTATTATGGATATATTAGACTTTTAAAAATAAAAAGTAATTTTACGATATCTACAAACTATTTCACATATTATTTTTTTATTTTTAGTTTATTGTCAATTTAACATTAATAAATTAAGCTAAATAATTGTTTACCAATACTCTGATGGGCTACATCTAGTCGATCGGCCAAGTAGCTTGACTTGCACCACCAGGTAGGCATATCTAACTAGGACAAAAGGTCGTTGTGATAGAGGAGAAGAGCATGGTTTAAGATTAGGCGCTACTAGACCGACCAACAAACCTGTTGGGTTAGTCAAGAAGAAACGTGCAGAGGCACAACATTAAACCAATTTAGTATAAATTGACTCGTGTATAGTATAAATTATTCAATTGACCTCGCTTAAAGAAACGACTTGTACTCATTTCACTACGTAAGTCTCATTCAACCATTATATCCAATTGTACATATCTAGAATACCTCTACTGATTAATCTATACTTCACTAATAACACTATATGTTCATAATAATCCGTAGACCTTTTCTTTTTCACACTCATTTAACGGTTTAATATGATTAAAATGATAAATGAATCAAAATTTATTGGTGAATTGTTTACTATCAACACTCTCAATATGTCCTACGTTTTACTATTTAATTCATGGTAGTTTACTCTCCTTTACTTGTGGAGAAACATTTTCCTTCTGCATTGTTTACTTTATGAAAATAAACTTCAGTCGGATATTCTTATTTCCATAAACAATATTTAATTGATTTTAAAATAGCATAGAATAAAAAAAAAAAAAATGTTGTGTTGGCTGTTTTGTTGTATAGCCAACGTGCAGGCACAGAAATCTGGTCTTTGGAAGTCTCACGTTTGTGTGTTGGACTCATGTTTAATTTCACAAAAGTTGTTTGGTTACCTAAATATTTTATTTTTTAGAACATGAAATATGTTCTAATTATATAAGACACCTTTAAATATATATCATATTCATATTACAATTATTTAAAAATATGTGTTTTCCTTTGAAAGTGATGCAATTGGTAGATAATGAAACATGATTATCATTCAGTTATTATCAATAATCAAAACCCCTCAATTGACTTTGTCACACACGATATTTTGAATGCAATTTACTTCTTTTGTGCAGCGCTGCAGATTTCCATTGTCACACCTTTATTTATTTTGTCATACAATATCTAATATTCCATCACTTTGAGGTTAATTTAGATTCAATTCGAGTCGCACCCATCTAAAGATTATTTTTTGCATCTGACATCTAACATCTCTTCACTTTGAGACTAATTCGGTTTCAATTCACATCCACCTAGTTTGACTCTTAATATAAAATTTGGTCTAAAATTCTTTAATATGACACTTTATAATTACATCTACGCACCAACTATTCTAATTAAAAATATTCCACCTTTATAGATTAATTTTGAATGTTACATGTGGCTATCAATTGAACTATGCAATGATTTTGATTGTTCTTTTGTTGTAAGTGACAACAAATAGACATAAAACACCAACACAATGGCAATAGTTGGAGACTAAAGCATGTCCTTTTATTAAAGGGTGTTGAATATATGGAGTCCCCAATGTGCTAGCTCATATGGACCTTTATCCAACACTATAACCAACTTCATTTAGTGTCTGCCTGTCTGTTTGTTTGTATGTAATATGCTGTATTTTAAAGCAGTTGATTGACTGTGACACAAGTTTTTTATTAGTTTTTTTCCTTCGATTTCGTCATATTATATCCTAGACCACATGAATTACGCGAAACTCATAAGTAAATCGAGTCAATCTAACTTCAAGATTCAACACCAAACTATACACTTTTTGTGCACAAAGAAGTCCGTCCATCCCAAACTCAAACCCCCAATGTTCGTAGTATAGATCGAACTCCCACCATGCTGTTAGCTAGAAGCAAGTCTTAAGTGAAGTTTCTCATCCATTAGATCAGACCAATATCATGGAAGACTATGTTGCACAAAATTTGGCATATGGGAACCCTTTTCTTGTAATGAAGGAAACTTACAACCACTATTCGAAGATGTGCATTGGATAAACTTTGCTCATGTGTGATAGCTCGCAAATCATATAAAAAAGGTAAATAATACTAAGAATACTATGCGCGACAAATTCGACTGAAAAGATATTAGCAAAAATTGAACTCTTGGTACCCCAAAATTTGTTTTAGACAAGATCTTGATAGATGAACAAATACACAACTAATAGTAGAAACATATAACTAAAACTTTTCACAAAACTTGAATTCTCAAGGTTCTCCAAAAATGTTACTCCCCTTCATCATAGATGTGCCTCTAACTTTGTTTGGAAAATTATAGAACAAAGTACAACACCCCCAAACATACAATTTTCTATTTTTTTTCTAAAACACAATCAGACCATAGAAAATTCATAAAGATATATAAAATTGCTATCAAAAATATACAAGTCTTGAATATTGAGATCCAAGACAAGTAGGCAAGATTGCAAGTGTCTTTTGAGTCCAGCCAAGGCCCAAGGATGTCCAGCTCTTCACCCTCAAAATTCCTCCCCCTTCCACCATGAAAAAAAGAAAGGAAAATAAGGTTTTTTTCATTATAAATTTAGAATGGGAATGAAGGGGGGAAATGAGACAAAAATGTAGTACCTTAACAAGGATACGTCATCCTCGTTTTGTTCAAATTCCCAGACTACATTACATTTATCGCATCTATTTTATCGAGGTTTTTCCCAACCAGTGAATGGTGAAGAAAACAGGAGAGGTCTTAAGCAACACCAGAGTTTCGCATTTCGCAAAATCTGCCCCTGCACTTACAGGCCATCAAATGCCCGCCACCACTGAATGTGCTAACGTTGTTGTTATGACCTCTTTAGAAGACAAAAGCACGTGATCCGTTAGCATGAAAGACATGGTCATTTATTAGAGGGCAGATAAGATGCAAAGAATGCAATGTAGGCAAACTCGAGAGAAAACTAACAGCCATGAAACAGTATACGACTATGCAAACTCTTATTGAAAGTTTCCAACTATTCAGATGTCATTTACTAATCGTTTTTTTTTTTTTTTTTGGGAATGTCTAGTGGGTATATGATTGAACCTAAAACCTCTTACATAGAGTGCTATGTCGATTTCAATTGACTAAACTACTGCTTAGATCTTTAACGATGCAGAAAGTTACCTTTAGGTACGATGAGCTGCAGATGACTACTAGCTGGAATTGACTTCCTTAGGCTTATCACCTTTAGCAACTTTCTCAACACCTCCGTCCTCCTTCAAACGGTCAACAATTACATTGTAATCCAAATTTGGTAAAATAGCATCCTCCCGTACCACTCCCAATTCCAAATTGTACTTGTTTTTGGAGTTGATCCCACCAAATCTATAGCTTACACTCCTTACAGAGCTCCTCACCGTTTCATCTTCTCCAACAACCCATTCTCGAAAATTGACCAGTGATGGTGCAGTCTTGGATAAAAAGACTTCTTTCCAGTTGTTTATTAAACCACGATTAAATGGGTTTTCCTTCTTATCATATCGGTATCTGAAGCTTTCATAAGTAGTCTGCAAGTATACATAAACTACATTAGTCATTTGACTTTCTTTTCCTATGAACAAAAAAATTGATGTAAAAAGAGCGTGAGGGTGTGCAAACAAATATATTGTCTAACCTGGTTATGAGACAGAAGGTAAAAATGGAAAAAACTTAGCCCACCCACAAACCAGACCGCAAAGAAGCAATAAAAAACTAAAATGGCGGAAACTACATCCTCCGACATCCTACTCAATAGACTGCCTCGTTGATGAAGGAGATTCATCAACGAAAATGTGAAGACATATATGCACAAGATTGTTGCTGTCGTTATGAAAAACAGGAAGCACCTATAGTTCCTCTGCAATCAAAGAAATAAAGAAATGGAGGCTAGTTTACTTTTCATACAACAAAACAAGGCAGCTGCCTTCTATTGCAGAAGATTTCCAAACCGTGGAACTTACAACTCCAATACATTGACCAACCCACGGGCAGTGATGATCGAATTTATCAACACAGTTATTGCAAATTGAACAATGAGAAGCACGTGGTGGACGATATAGCAAACAGGTGTCACAGAACTTCACTTTGACTGAATAGCCATTGACCATAACATCCTTTGTCCTTGGTAGTTTTATAGAAGTGGCCCTGGTATACCAATCCATGGATGTTACACTGGCTTCTAATATCTCATCAAATTCAGGGGGGCTTTTGTTCCTAGGGATTATTCCAGGATTGCTTGAAGACGTGAAGAAGAGAAAAATCAAATCCTGCATGATCACTATAATGTGTTAGGCCAAATTTTCAGAAGATAATGCCAAACTCTTCATGGAAGACTTTCCAATTACCTACCAAAATTGTGAGCACAATCCCCACAATAGACACAACCTTCCCAAATACTGGATCAGCTTCTTGAGTCCTTGAAAGCGTTTTCAAACAGAATGTGAATGCAGGGGTCCCTATTAGAAAAGCAGATAAAATCATTGATGCCCCATCAGGACCATAGACCAATCTCCCACCACAAACGAATTTCTGAAATAGTAAAGAAAGTCGTATAAACATGAGCAACCGGTAGTCTTCCTCCCCCACCTCATAATAAACATTATACTTCATTACAAATTTTATCTCATGTGTGAAAATTCCCTTCTATAGTTAGTGGCAATGCATTTCCAAATTACACACTGCATCACATGTTGAGCAAAACCTTAGCACAATGAAGTACTAATCTCAAGAAGACACTCAAAACTTAAGTGAAACAAAAAACAAAACATGAGTTTTGAACCATTGGACAATAATCAAAAACCATAAACTAAGATTGAAATCTCAATGAACCTAAGTTGTGGAACCCAATGAATTTGGCCTTTACTGGGCAAACATTTAACAGAAGTTGAAATGAAAATGGAAACATCATTTCCAACAATTTGTCTTCCCAAAATTTCTTTAAGATTTTTTTTTTTTTGTTTAAATAACCATAAAATTGTTTCTAGTCCCATTATTACAATAAATCGTTCAAAATAAAACACAAGCAACGAGAATCTTACATTGTGGCCGTTCCAAGTTTGATAAAGCCGTTTCTTGGGAGCGTCGACTATGGAGGATGGGGCCAAATCCTGATTCCGGATCCCATTCATCGCCGTTGCATTCTCCATGCGCAACTTTGATGATGGAATCGAATGGCTTATTGAGGGGTGTTGGTATAATCAATAATGGAGAGAAAGCAGAAGGAGAAGATGAAGATGAAATCACCCCTACACCTACCCCTATCCCTCTCTCTCTCTCTCTTTCTCTCTCTCTCTTTCTCTCTCTCTCCCTCTCTCTCTCTAAAAGAAAAATTGATTCCCTCCTCGCTACGCTTGCCCTCTTTCTCTCCCTTGAAACAAGGGGACATTTTCGCTCCATTTCTATAAATTTGAGCTCACTTCCTTCTCTCTTGGTCTCTCATATTTTGCTGGTGACATATCTTATGATTTGTCAAGTATATATAAATAAAATAATACAACTTTATAAACTCCTTTCAAAAAAAAAAAATTACAACTTTATAAACTATAAAATACACTCACAATATTGTAAACATTTTCTTAAAATAGCAATGCTAACAATTTAATTTTATATGTGAGGTTTTATGCGTGATGAAACTAGTAGGCCTATATATCCGAAATAACCTAAGTTCGATTCTTACAAGTTACAATTTTCCTTTAGCTAATTCTTGTGTCTCTAGAAGCGAACGAATACTAGTCAGGTGGATCTGAATCGTAATACAAGATGCCTAATGTCCAATCAAGAATGACAAATTAAATCGTAATACAGACAGAGAGAATGACAAATTAAATCGTAATACGGACGAAAATAACTAATAAGCCTAATGACCAACCGAGAATGACAAATTATATTGTACCACTATAACTCTTCATTTTGAATATACTAAATTATTATTATTATTATTGTTATTATTATTATATAATGACATTTTATTTTTTATATCACTTCTTTAATTTTCATTCCTAATAATTATATTCATTCCCATTAGATAATGTAATTTGAATTTCCACTTCATTATCACCTCTCTTTTTCCCCCACAAAATTACAATTCTTTTATTTTAATTCTGTCATCCCAATTAAACATTATGTTACATTAGATTCATTGTGCATATAAATGTACATGTAGGTTTAAGAAATCAATTTTATAGTACGACAAAACTGGAAACTAACGTTATTAAAAAAAAAAAAAAAAAAAAAAAAAAAGTTATACGCTTAGGCGTATATATATTTTTATATTCAAATGAGGTGATAGAAACAATAAACATAACAATGATACATGAATCTAGATTATATGTGCGTTTCATCTAATATGAATGAATATAATGTCAAATATACAGAGTTTAATGAGAAGTTACTAGTTATATCATGAATTATTTAGTAGCAATAATATTCATTGATTATACAATAATGTTTCAATGTAATAACATTTAATCTCTTACAATGAAATATAATTGCCATTATAATTAATCATGTGAACGTTTTTGTATTGTTGTTTACATATATCATTGAATCACCACATATATCATTGCTAGGTTATTTATTTTTTTATTTTTTGCAAATACATATAAAATGCAAATTCGACTTAAAACAAATATTTTCAAATATAAATAGTAATGTAGAGCATGTTTTTAATTTATTCATCTAAACGTGCTCATTTGATAGTTTTAACATTGGTAAGTTATAAGCAACCATTGTGGTTTATATATGATTTTGATATTATATTGTTTTTCAATATTGATATTAGCATGATTTTCGGTTTCAATATATATTTTCAAGCTGTTCATTTTTCACTGCTATATATGTTAACTATGTCATAAAATCGTGCATATGTCACGTCAATATCTTACATGTATTGCAACTTATCGAAGAACTCAATCCAGAGACGTCACGTCAATAGTTTGTCATCATTATGTTGGATTGTAGGAGTTCATATTAGTGTAAGAGGATCGGTGGCTCACAACTGATACTAGAGCTTCTCAACATCTCAGTCACTATCTCATTATTATACTGATCATAGTTTATCGACACCGTGTGATAAATATATGCTAAATACATTTTAAATGTAAAATCAAATATATCTTAATAATAATAATATACTTTTTAAACAATAATTAATGGATGAAAATGAAAATTGTGCTTGGGTCTTGTTGGCCCACTGTTGGTACCCGCCAAGCAGTATCGGGAAATTTGGCGGCAAAACTGGGACACGTGTCATATCGTTATTACAAAATGTGTCGTCTAGGGCTGCCTGTTACCGGCAGGATGACGTATGTCGTTTTTCCCGCGCGTATTCGCTAACAGAAAAAAGAGGTGGGCGGGAAAAAAGGGTCCCTTTTTTAGTGATAGAAAGAGAAAGAGGGGCAATTAGGCTGAAAGTCTGAAACCCTAGTGTTCTTCTCACTCACAATATCATCTCAAGCTTCTCTGAGCTTTTTTCCCCGGATTCCATTTCTCTCGATTAGAGCGATCTGTTATTCGATTGGCCGTGTTATCAGTCGGAGTGCAAGGAAGTTTTTTCCGGCGGGCGGCGGCGGCGGCAGTAATTTGGAATCAAATATAAAGATGGCTTCCTCGTCCACTCCTACTCGGCTGAGCTGCGGCACGGCGACAATGTCTACCGCGACGTGGCTGCGCACCGTCATAGATCCGCTTCCCTCGAAACCCTCGCCGGAGCTGGAGAGGTTCTTGTCGTCCTGCGATAGAGATGTAACGGCGGATGTGATTCGGAGGGCTCAGATTATACTCGAGGCCATATTTCCTTCTCCGAGCGGTCCTGGTTCTACTCCGGCGGAGGAGTGTGCGGCTGCTGGAGCTGAAGCTGAAGCTGGGAGCAGTGTGAGCCTTCAAAGTAGCAACTTAATGGACAACAAATGGGTGGAACAGCGTCGATCGGAAGCTATGAAGCTTTATTACAGGGTACTGCAAGCGATGTGTGTCGCCGAGTCCCAAATTTTACGCGGGAACAATTTAACTTCTTTGCTGACTAATGAGAGGTTCCATAGATGTATGCTTGCTTGTTCCGCGGAGCTAGTTCTAGCCACGCATAAGACCACTGCAACTGTATTGTTTCCGGCTGTTCTAGAGAGAACGGGAATCATGGCTTTCGACCTCAGTAAGGTCATAGAAAGCTTCATTAGACACGAAGATAGCCTTCCTCAAGAGTTGAGACGCCATTTGAATTCTCTGGAGGAACGACTTTTGGAGAGCGTGGTGTGGGAAAAGGGGTCTTCTATGTACAACTCCTTGATAGTAGCTAGGCCAGCCCTTTCGGCAGAAATTAACCGTCTTGGCTTGTTGGCTGACCCCATGCCATCACTGGATGCAATTGCAAACATGTCTTCTGCAATTTTACCTCCAGTGCCATCTTTTCATAAGCTGGAAACTAGCCCAGGTATGCATTAACTTGGTTATTATTTTCTTTGTATACCTCTTTTAGTTTTACTCATGAATTGGTGTATTATTGCTGATGTAAAACTGCAAGTAGAGTGAGTTCTGGATGCCTTTTGCTAAAGAACTTCTAGATAAATTTGATTTTTATTTTTATTCAAACCTAGTACTAATCTTTCATTTAACAATATTTGGAAATGGGTGAAATAGCTTCTTTTCTCTGTATCATATATCTGGTATTATGTAAATTCCTGACATATTTTACATTCAGGTCAAAATGGTGACATGAGGTCACCCAAAAGACTCTGCACTGAGTACCGAAGTGTGTTGGTTGAGCGGAATTCCTTCACATCACCCGTGAAGGATCGTCTTTTGGCTCTGAATCCTTTGAAAGGAAAGCTCCCCTTACCTGCTTTGCAGTCTGCATTCGCAAGGTACTATTGTTGATACCATCTATAGATAGATCTGTTGCTGTTTCATTTAGCTTGCAAATTTCAGTTCTCATGCGTCTTTGCCTCTGTTGAATTTGGATATTTTGCAGCCCTACAAGGCCAAATCCTGGTGGGGGAGGGGAAACATGTGCAGAAACAGCTATCAGTGTATTCTTTGGCAAGGTATTTATAGTCACAATATATAGTTAATAATAATAATAATAATAATATTATTATTATTATTATTATTATTATTATTATTATTACCATCGTTGTCTTCATTTTGAATGCATTGTAATGTAATGCTCTAAGTTTTCAATTCCTCTTAGCATTGATCCTATCTATACACTTACAAGTTTTGCACTGTTTCCAGTTTTTCTTTTCTTCCTGGCAAGCAGTCTACATCTCTCACAGTCTAAGAGCTTCTTTTGGAGAGCTTTCAATTATAATTTTGTTCCAAGAAATTATGAATTGGATGGCTAATCTGGTTATAATACCCCGTGTATTTTTATATAAATCAGATTATTAGAACTTTCTGGATAACTATTCAGGCAATCATGTGGCAAATCCAGTTGTGAATTTCTTAGATTTAACATGTGGGTGCTGATATATAACTATACTAGCTTTATGAAATTGAGAAACATTAGGGGTTTAATTTTTCTCAGTGGTTGATCTAATTAACTTTACACCAATTGTATGGTTCCCACCTAGATTTCAAAGCTGGCTGCTGTCAGAATTAGTGGCATGGTTGAACGGCTACAGCTTTCTCAGCAGATCCGGGAGAATGTGTATCATCTTTTCCAAAAAATACTTAATCAACAGACTGCTCTGTTATTCAACCGTCATATTGACCAGATTATTCTTTGCTGTTTCTATGGTATTGGCAAGGTACATATATAGTTAAAATATCAATTTGAACTCTGCTGTAGTCTGTTTTCAGATTTTGCTTAATTATTCTCTTCTTGTGTCATTTACTGCAGATTTCCCAACTCAGCCTGACCTTCAAAGAAATAATATGCAACTACCGAAAGCAACCACATTGCAAGACACATGTTTTTCAAAATGTTTTTGTTGATTTGACATCAGCTCAACGCCATGGCGTATGCAACTGTCTCTATGCACTCTTTCCTGAATCACTTTTTTTTTTTTTTTTTTTTTTTTTTGGAATTTGTAATCATTTTGAATAATTTTTAAACAGAAAGCTGGTAATGATCATGTTGATATCATCTCATTTTACAATGGAATATTTGTTCGTGCTGTAAAACCACTTCTGGTTGAGGTTGGACCCACTGGAACATCTCAACAGAGTAGCAACAATGCAGAAGCTAAGAGTAGTAGCACCGGTAGGTCTTCATTAACTGTCTGTCTTTGAGACATTTGTTTCCTTTTTATCTTATCTTCTTTTGTTGTTTAGGGCACTGAGCATTCCACTTCTCTTGTCTTTTTTTTTTTTTTTTTGCAATTCTTTGCCATTATTTGTGACCTAACATTACCTTTAACAATCACATGATGCCAACCAGGTCAACCTCCTGCATCACCCAAGACATCCCCTTTTCCAAGTCTCCCCG